CCAGACCTATGTGAATACTACCCTATATGAGAAGTTTACTTACGCAGGCATTGATTGCTCCGCTGAAGAAGCTGCTTAAGACAGGACAAATCTTCACTCATGAATGATGTATTGAAGAAAACCAAAACTCAATCTGCTGGAGCCCAAAATGTGATGTGTTGTGTAGAACTGTGTACAGCTCTAACTGTATATAATACAGTAATACTGTTTTACTACAGATATGTATGTGTATATCATACAGTAACCTCTGCCTCCACAGACTGTAGAAGTGTATATACTGTTCAGAGTAGGAATAGACTGAAGTAATGAAATCTACTGTTTCATATGCAGGGTTTTCTTTTTTCTTTGTCATGTAGATATAGTGTATACATACGATTATTGTAATGCATTAGGTATTGCCATCTTAGATATTTCTGATACTTTCCAAGAGCTATTGATAGCAAAGTCGGTATCTTATAGCAATATTTCATAGACATTTCATTGTGTTTCAAATAAAAATGCTAAGCTTAGTGCAACAATGGAAGTTGCAAGCAGATGTCAATCCAGTATGCTCACTAAGGATAATTAATTATTAAATAAGACTCGTATTTGAATATAGAAGTGAGCTAGTAGAAATAATCTGTTCAAAAATTCTGTTGACACTTGTAAGATATAAGGCCTGCTATCGCTCTTTCATTCTCCAGTTTAACAGTCAGCATTTGCCTATATGCAAAATGTGCATAAATTTTGAAGTGTTTACTGCTATCAAAAGCAGACAAACAGCAATTACCATGAAGCATAGGGCTGAGGAACGTCCTACATATTGTAAAACACATTTTACAATTAGCCTGGATATACATGAGGCTTATTCAATTTGTATTTCATTTAATAATTTCACTGCTTAATTATAAATTACTACCTATTATATACCAGCAGGACTTACTTACTTTTGCTTATTTTATCCCTTATGCAGTTTATGGTGTGGTATGGCCTCTTAAAAATACTGTACTGAAATGCTTCAAAACAATGAGATTTGTCCTGCCAGAAACATTTCCTAGTTCTTAGGTTAGACAAATAGAGGCAGGATTGGCCTGAGCTTCTGGCATCAAGTCAACCCCGGGGGACCCTGTGGACTTACCCTATTCAAACTTCATGTATCAGCTAACCTCATGCTTTGCAGATATGTTCCCCTTATCCCCCCGTGACTCACCAGCTCGTAACTAACCATCAGACCACAGTGGCTTTCTAGCTGGGTGGATTAGGTCAGACCTCAGGACTTGGAGGAAAATGCTAGAGAGAGAAAAAGGTTTCCCCTTTGATACTTAGTTTGTGGGTGGATATTGGGTTGGTCACAAGGCAAGGATATCACCACAGAGCATAGAGTAACATTACTGGCATACACCAGGCTGACTCAAATAGAGGAAGCACTAAGAGCTTTATTAAAAGGGAATAAGTCAACAAACAAGGGTGCTGAGATCACTTGTGTAGCCTTGAGATAGGCAGAACTTGCACTGTAAGTACAGGTGCTGCAACCTGAGTTTACAAAGAGTGCACAGATTCACTGGACCAAGGAACAACTCCAAAATGGGAGAGAGAAACAAATTCCACTATATTTTTCATAAAAGACTACTTGGCCAGGCAGTTTTGAAGCATGGGCATTGCATTTTGCAGTCCAACCAGGTTCCTACAGATCAGTGAGGTGAATAGGAATGGACCTCCATGGGCGCCTTCTAGGCTGCCAGGCAAAGCTAGCTAACAACTTCTGTTGGAACAGCTCCGCTTTCTGTACAGAATTTTTCATGGGTCCAAAACAACTCATTGTCTCACACATCTCTAACAAGCAGACACAACTGACTACTCTGCTACTTGATGTGAACCCCTTCTTCTGTGGCAAACTTTTACTTGGACCAATATGCCACATAAAGAAAGAATCAGAGAGTCATTCATCAACCCAGTAGGTCTTAATACTGTCTGCATTTTAAGTGCTCAAGTCTCACTGTAAATTTAGCTGAAGGTCATTTAAGTGTCCTTATAAATGTTCTTCATATCTTCATTTAATGTTGTGGCATGCATTAGCTTTCTAATCTGCTGTAATGAATTTTTTTTTTTTTAACTTGCCATTTCAAAAAATACACAAAAGAAAGCAGTAACTCCAATACACAGCTTGAGATGTCTCTATTCAGTCTATATGTCACAGAACTACAGCTATTAGAAATGTCCACCCATTCTGTCAGAGTCTCAGATAGACGAATTGCTTCTATACTTGCAACATGCACTGGGTATCCCAGGTTCAGTAGCTAGATTTTACTGTCTGTTGTCCAGTGCTGGAAAGCCCAATTTATGGCAGTAGGTGGCATATAAAGGTTTTCAGCTTAACTGTTAGCAGGTTGTATGTTCTGCCTTCCAAAGCACAATACATTAGATCCCATGTCCCCTCCTTCCCACATGTCTTTGTTTCTTTGCTGACAAGAGCATAATGATACCAGTGTCTACAGTTTTCCATTATTCCAAATACCCCATGTCCTAATATTCTTTATGCACCTCTACCTGTTTACAGCTGCCAACATCTATGCACGAACTTGGAGTATCATCAGCTATTCCCCATGTTTGTTTTTGATATCACAACATTAGTTTTCCCATATTCTCCCACATAGTTATCAACCTCATGCTCAGTACATGTTTTTGGCTGGGAAAGAAAAGAATTTTGGTGAAATTTCATTACTTCCAGCATCAGAAGACTGTTTTACTTTGGTATTTTTACAAAATAGTTAGTATCTAAAATTATTTTACTTACTGTACACAGTATTTTATCCATTTGGTTTTAATAATTCAATAGACAACTACATGAAGAAGTTATGAAGAAGACAAGTCAGATGATGGAGGTCCCTTAGATGGTCTATAGACCCTCAGCATTACCAGTTTGGACACTGCTAACAGCTTGTTGGATGACTAACACAGGCTTCTCTGCTAAGTACAACAGGTTCTACAGAGTAGACATTCATCTCTTTCCTTAGATTTAGTCAAAGTCAAATAATAAAGGCAATCTTCACTAAAAGGACCTAATTTCAAAGCTGAGAGGATCCATGAGCAAGTCTATCCCCTTTGTAAAGAACATGCCAAACCCCCTTCTCTGTGCTGTAGTAGAGCCTGTTTACAGGACTGGTCTATTAATACAGAAAGAAGTATTACCTACTTCTTGGGTGAAGGAAAAACAGCAGCTTTTTTTTTTGTTTGGACATTCTGAGCAGCAGATTCAGGACAATAAATACACAATGCTATTTCTAACTACAGCTATTGCCTGTCAGTATCTCACAGAACAGGACACATCCCCCTATGCGTAAGAAGCAGCTACAGTAATTTTTAATCTTCCATACAGACTTACTCATTCTTTGGGGCACGTCTGTCAGAACCGCAAGATCTTCTTTACACTACTGATCTTCTTTTACAGGGTCCTCAGTCAAGACCATTTTTCCTCACCACTCAGCCTTCTTTGATGAATCAGTACAAAGCATAACTTCAGGTCAGAACTAGTGTTGTACAAAAAATGCGATCCATTCTTACAACTTCATTTTCTTCTGTTTCCTTCACACAAAAATAAGTGGCAACAGACTTTAGGATCCTCCTCTCTGAGGTCAGCAGATGCTGAATCCTACCTCAAGCAGCAGACAGGGAATTACATCTTAGTGCAATTTTAGCTGAAGCACGGAATGTCTTTACTTCTTGAAATACTCTACTTTTTGAGAACTCTTATAAGTCAGCAAAACTTACTGCTTTTACAGTTGAAAAGCTCCCTACAGGCTCAACTTATTTAAAACAAACCAGCTTATTCTGCTCAAGAAGAGGTCACATTTCTACCATTATGCCTTTCTGTGTCAGTTAGTACATTCAACATGACGACTAAGTTTGCTTTCTCTCTCTTTGAAGGCAGATAAAGAGGTAGAGAGAAGCAGGAAGGGAAAGGGGAAAAAGAAAACAATCTTGAACTTTAATCATACAGCAGAAATGCATGTTTTATTTCACAGAGGCTGAACAACATGAAATCAAAAGTTATACCCAGAATTTTAATCAATCAGTACTTTCACTTACTGCAGATGATAGTTCTCAGCTACACAGAGTAGTAAGGATGATTACAGAAATAAGACTCTTACCAGAACAGAAAAGAAGTATGGGCTTGGTGCTTAATACAAGAGTTTACTCTAGGCATCTTACTTGTATTATTTTGTGCATTTGTGTTTTCTCCCTTCTGTACATCTTAAGCTTCAGAAGTAGATACAGTCAAGTTTTCCCATTAGATTTTCGCATTGTACTCTTTTTTTACATCAGAAAAGTAATTGGTACAGAAGCATTACGGAGCAGCGAGACAAATTTGGATTGATTTTTCCCCCCACCTTGTTCCTCCAAAGGCACAATAATCACCGTTTTCTCCCTTTATTGTCCTCCTTGATCTTCCAAAGGATTAGCTCCATACAAGCAATTGCATCTTCCCTGGAATTATGACCACCAACTAGAAGAAAACAAACAAAAAAAATTGTTAAGTGTTAAGATTATGTATTTCTTTATAAAGGAATGGTGGCTTTGTTTATTAAGCTGAAAAACTGTCAAGAATATTAAGACAATACTTGGTATTCAGACAGTTTTTGGTGCAACTTCTTGCTACCAGGGTTCAAGGCAATAACCACATGCTTCTAGCAGCCCAGTATTATCTGGCAATATTCAGTTTCCCACTGCATCCTCCAGCTTCAGTATCCAATGGAGCCTGGATTAGTAGCCTAGAGCATCCAAAACTCTCTTTGGAAAACCAGCCTCTCCCAGTCATGTACTTTCCAATCAGAAGTTGAGAGAGTAACAGATGACTGATTTTGCAACTAGATAGTAAATTTCTACCTCGGTTAATTAAGGACAATGCACTTGTCCTGATCTACTGAAGTGCTCCACAAAATGTGAACAGAATGTATTTAAAGGATTTAAATTAGATACAGTTATACATTTTTATTACATGTTTAGTCAAAGCTTGAAAAGTCAACAACTTACAAGTTCATATGTTTTATACAATTCCCATAACTACAAAAAGCATGGTAAAAAGGTTTTAATGCATTCTGACTGGAAAATAGTGGTAGTCATCCAAACAAGAAATGCATAGAATCCTCTTGTTAGTTGGCATTTAATGTAGGCATCAGAATATCCTTCCTAACATTGAGTCAACACAAGAAAATGCTGTCTGCCAGGATAATGTTAGTTAACCACTGAAAGTTCTGAGCACTCCTTATTGAAAGCCAAAGCTGCATGTTGGGGCTCTCCTAGCAACTTTAGGATAGGTGGAGAATAGACCTACTATATTCAGCCATCATCTTCATAAGCAGAAATTTGACGCAGTGTCAAATTGTCACGTTGACTAATTTGAATGTGTGTCCCTCAGTAAATCCTATATGAGCTGATCGACGGAAATCTAAATCCTGTATGGTTTAAGTTATGTTAAAGATACCATTTTGAGTACAGAAGTTTAAATAAAGATACAGAAGATCTCAGATAAACAGGTTTGAGACAGGGGCTGGTTATTCAGAAACCAAAGAAGTTGTAGAGGAAAAATCTGACAGCATACAGTTCAGCATTTTCATTTGAAGGTGGCAAAATCCCCTCCCCATTCTATGTTTCTGAGCTAGTGGCTCAGAAAGAAGAAGATATTGCTTCTTTGCACTATAGCACTGCATTACTGCACAGATTCCGTGTCTACTGATTCCACAACTACTTTGGGCAGGGGAGAACACCACAATATAGTAAATTGATACTAGGGAGAAAAATAATTTTGTTAGATTTAATTGAGATGTTCCGTTTCCCAAAGAAGCAGAGGACTTAAGTGCTATCACAACAGAAGATGACTCAAGAGTAAAAGTACAAGCTTCTAGCTTTCTCTTGTAAAATATAAACACGAGTGATTTGAGATCATTTTTCATATGTAGCAGCCTAGACTCAGAAGCAAAGATCTTCAGACATTTACAGACATCTAGTTGCAATTCAGGTGTCTACTGGCTTAAAGCAGTGTATTATCTCCTTGAATGTGGAAGTGATTATACTTCCCTCTTAGTGAGCACGTAATTTACACAGTCATGGCAGTCATCTGCAACAACACTAGTGTGTTACAAAATATGCTGGTGAAAGCAATCATGTAAGAACTGTCCCTGCAATATCTATTTATATTGGACATGTAAAGAGCTGTGGAAGGGAATGGAGGACAGCCATAGCTGTTATCTGTGGCAGAGAAGTTTATACCATTTAGTAACCTCTACTATTCACAGAATCAGAAGACAGCTGGCAATAACCTTGCAGGTTCTAGTTTTCTCCCGTTCTAAATGTACCTTAAGAAATAAAATAGAACAGTTGCCAATAATCAATTTGAAACTATTTTGTCATTTAGATAAGAAAATGGAGGTGATCCTGTGAGCTTCCCCTCCACCCTTACTATCTTTTGTCAGAGAAAGTTCCAATTCTCATTTGTGTTTCAACCTGTGAAGTAGTGCTCTGCCTTGCCATTCCACCCTTCGGCTGCTGCTATTTTTAACTGCTCAGGAAAGTACAACTTAAGAGACATGTTTTTTCAAGTAGTCTGAAAAGGCTCAATTATTGAGACCATAGTCTTCTAGCTCTGTTATGTATTCTTCAATTTTTCAGTCAAATCAAATATATGATATACTGTAAGTCAAGCTACCTCAGCAGTTGCAGCTCTTGTACCTTGGACACCAGAAATCCTGTTGTTGAAACCCTTTAAAATGCACTCCTAGCCAAACTCCAGTTTGAGATGGTCAAAAAAAGGCAAATGGACAATTAAATTCAGAGCAAGCTAAATCACCACAGACCTACTGCTTTCTGATAGCAAAGAGTGTTTCATTCTACTAATTCCTAGGTTTACAAAAAAAGCAAATCTAGATTTACAAAGTTTATTACCTTTCTCTTATACTACCACAAAGCTAACACAAACAAGCATAAGCAGCATCACAAACCAATATAAACATAAGGAGTGGAAGTCATGCATCAGGATTTTTTTCATTTTTTTCTAGAAATGACAGCTACCTAGCTCTATAGGTTAAGCTTGGATTTTAGCTCAGTGGTGATCAACAAAGAATGATTAAATCGCAGCTTAAGCTGAAGAGTCTACTAAAGGCAGAGTATTGGCTATTTGAGATAGCTGTCTTAAAGTCTGTAGAAATAACTTTTGACATTCCCCTTACCCTCACCACAGTGCTGTGCATCAGACTCTCAGAGCAAAGGAAGTCAGAGGATATTATAAGCTTTGAGATGCAGCATCTAGCTACTCCACTGGGTATCAAAGGCCATCAAGCTTTGCTCAGTGTGACCATTTATGTATTTCCCGGGCAATGAAGAATACATTTAGCAGAATAGAATATTATTTGTTGTCCAGAAGGTTTCACTGATAAAAGCAAATACGAATCTGCCAGTTTATAGATACTCAATTTAACTTGTTCTAAGATCAGATTAAAAAGAATTATTTAGAATGGCATGGTCAATGAAAAAATATATCTGTCAAATGCAGTGTCTCATAAGTATTATATGCACACTGTAGAACAGATTCATTGATTCATCTTTGATAGCCAGCCAAGACATTTACTATAATTTTACTACTGAAAACCCCAGCTGAAGAGCTCCTGTATCAGCTTGGATAAGCAAGTGAATCTTGAAATAGATGTCAGCCTTATCACACTACCTTCAGAATTTTAAGAATGCCCTCTCTACAAGGGGAAAACTGGAACACTTTTGTTGGTGAACACTTTGACAAGCCAACTGTACTGGGAGGGAATGAGTGAGTGGCTGTGTGGTGCTTAGTGCCATCTGGGGTTAAACCACAACACCAAACATCTTACCCTTCGGGTATATCCTCTGCATTTACTATACTATTGAAGTAAAGGTATCCAAGACAAAGCTTTAAATGACAGGAAATATATTACTACCTTTCCAGTTTTCTGCATTATTCCTGTCTCCTATTTCATGAGGCAATATACCGATTGCTTAATAAGAACCTGAGCTCTTACCATCATCTTGACGAATTCTCCTGAGGTAGTCAGCCATCAGACTTCTAAGTGCTCTTTTGTGAGGCAAACCTAGCCGATGAGGAAACACTATTGATGTGTCCACTACTGTGTCATGAATTAGCTGGAAGAGAGCAGAGGCCACAGTAATGACTATACATCCAGTTACAGACTTGCATCTCCTTTATTCATTAAAGAAATCTCATCTAGCATCTAAACCATTTTCTTTCTCAATAATATGCCCAGACTAATCCCCAAATACTACATCATCTGTTCTGTGTTCCTCTATGCATTATAGAATGGCAAACTGTCGGGCAAGAACTGTGGAAAAATTGTGCTTTGCAGTGATTTCTGTACACTGCATTGACATTTATTCACTAGTTGTGTATATATAGAGAGTGAACATCACTAATTCAGATAATTAACTAATTAATTTAGATAGCCAATATCATACTGCAAAGTCTCATTTGCTTTGGCCTTTAGATATCACTAGCAGGGAAGCCTAATTCCTTCATTAGTAATAATCATAGAATAGTTGAGGTTGGAAGGGACCTCTGGAATTCATCTTGTCCACACCCCCTGCTCAAGAAGGGCCACCTAGAGCCAGTTGCCCAGAAACACGTCCAGATGGCTTCTGAGCATCTCCAAGGTAGAAGACTCCACAACATCTCTGGACAGCCTGTGACAGCGCTTGGTCACCCTCACTGTGAAAAAGTGTTTCCCAATGTTCAGAGGGCACCTCTGGTCCTGGCACTGGGAACCACTGGAAAAAGCCTGGCTCAGTTTTGTTCATACCCTCCCTTCAGGTATTTACACACATTGATAAGATCCCCCTGAGCCTTCCTGAGCAGACGGTTATGTTTCTTATGGAATATCGCTGCCTTTGATATTTTAATAGCATAATCCATACATTTCTGGTACCTAAGGTAATTAATTACCTGACAGGCAGCACAATTGTTTATAGACATTCTAAGAGCAACCTTAGTATTACTTGAATTGTCACTTCCTTTTAGGCATTTACCAGCATGAATTCAGCTAGATCAGAAAACATACAACTCTTGGTTTCTGTGAACCCAGAAATAAAGACAATATTATTCAGTGGTGACGTATGGTTGCATAGCTAGAAGGACAAAACAGCAAAGTAGGAAGCCCAAATGTCAGAACCTTTACCATACTGTGTTTGTATATACAGTACAAACAGTATCTCTCTTCCTTCTCTGAATGTAGTATTATCTTTAATAGTTATCGTTTAACAATCAAGTACATTTCATTCTTTTTTTCATATATATTGATCTGCTGAAGTGCAACATTCTTTTCCTTTTTTAAATTAATTAGTTAACACAGTAAAGACAAGTAGTCACCTCTTAAAATTGGCTTCAAAAAGGTTATTTTACCTTGAGAGCAAATAAGGCATTTTCTAAGCTGTGTCCAATTAAAATTGTATCTGCACTGAACAAGTTCAGCAGTACTGCCTGTACATCCCGAAGAGATGTTGTGGTATTCTTCAGATCAGCCTCCGTTGCTCCAGAGAGTCTAAAGACAGATTTAGAAGATCTTTGTTAACAGAGACACTAAGAAATATCTGGAAAAACTAGGTTTATAGCAGTCATTCCCCCAGCATCTCAAGTTAACACTAGCCTGCTTTGAAACCACACAACACTGAAGTCAACATAAGGCATTTTTTCACTGTCTTCCTTCTCACCTAGGTAGTGTAAGAAAAACTAAGCTAGGTGATATTAACTTAGCTCAAGCACTACAAGTGACTGAGCCTGTTTAAGTATGGACCAAAGACAGGGGTCTGAGCAAACAAATATTGCTGTTGAAGAAGTAAGAACACATGATGTTGGTTCTCCTATTTTTTTTTTTTTTTTTTTACAGTGGGGCTCAAAACCTGTATTTCTTCTCAGAGCAGTTGCAGGACTCCAAAGAACTAATAGGAACTGAAAACATGTCTTGCAAGTCTCAAAGACAAAACCAATAGGAAGACCAAATATAAGTGATCTACACTAAATACAGCCAAATCTTGTTAAGCTGTACAGTCTGATGGCCTCAATGCATGGCTTATGACTATACTGCTTTTCTACAAGACAAAATTTATAGAAGCAAATGCAAATTTCACCTATCCCCTTAGGGAATTTAGCAAGTTCTGGGAGGTTTAACTTTTTTTTTTTTGAAGGAAAGGGAGAAAATGTCTTAAAATGTGGAAAAAAATAAATTGAACCAGGCAAAGAGAAAAATCCTTCTTAGCTGAGCCTGTAAAAGAACAAAAGCCTCATGCCTGATAGAAGGTCTTTGATTTATGTTACTAGAAATAGACATTTAGGAAAGGCATGTTTCTTCTTGTATAGTTATCTGCCAATTTATTAAGTCTAATGCTGAAATATTTAGACTAATTAGCATACCTTATATCGTAGTCTACAACTTTACCATCTGGTTTAACAAAGGTATCATAGACAACCTGTAGCTTAGCATCAACCACTGTCACTCTGGTTAGTTCCAAGCCGCGGGTTGTGTAACACTGAAGAAAAAAGTAAATTTAATGAGAATTTACACAGCAGTGATATTTCCTTACATTATGCAAGTTGTATGGAAAGCAGAACTGGGTACCAACTGAAATCCAAATGATTTTGCTCACTGCATATTCAACACTAAAGGTCTAGCCACATAGAGTGACTGGTCAGACTGAAGGTCTAGTCATGTAGAGTTACTCGTCAAAGTTCTGCAGATCTCTCAGAGACATGAGTTCCAAACTACTATATAGCTAGTAAATTGTTTCATAAACAACAATATAGTTTTCTATTAACTGAACCAAACTTTTTAGGTTGCTCATACCGTCTCACAGTCCAGAGCATATACACCATAGTTTCCATCAAAAGGCGGTGATTTAATTAATGTCTTCATGAAGCCTTCCAACTTCTCCCTTCTTCCATCGTGAACATGAAGCTGCAAAAGTTTCCATTAGTATTTAAGTGCAAGTTTGTTAAATATATCTTACCTAAATTGCCAGACAATTTGTTTCTCTAACAGACTCAGGAGCATATATATAATACTTCCTGTCAATATCTGCCACATAATTTACTAAACACTAGTAAGCAAACCTAAAAGGCTTATACCAAACCCTTCAGAGAGCTATGACCCAGCTTTAAGTCAAAAGGACACAGAAAGCAGAATTGAGATACTGCATTACTTGGTAGTGTTAGGTTAATGGTTCGACTGGATGATCTTAAAGGTCTTTTCCAACCTAAATGATTCTATGATTATATAAACCTTCTGAGAACATTATTCCTACCTTTGCAATCTGACAGCCAGCAGAACCAACTGTTCTCTCACAACAGCTATAGCATTTTTCCATGCCGCCAGGAACTGCCAAAAAGAAAAACTGAAAATTGAGCAGTTTTTGCACCAACTAGCAATGGTAAAAACAAATCAGTATTCTTACTCCTCCTCTCAAATTTCTTTTCCATTTTCTCCTGAGACTGCAGTATGGAAAGAAGCAGTCTCACCTACAGGTCCCACCTATGCAAAGATGACAAACTGTACATCATTCCCTCCTAAGATAAGGGTTTCATCAAAAAAAGAAATACCAATGAATGGGAAAGAGAAAGTTGTAGTATGCTCTTGAAGGTTCTCCCTGAGGGAAATATTTAATGTAGTTTCTCAGTACTTAAGGTGCTTTTCAGAAAAGATGACAAGGTTCACTTAGAAGTCAGTGCAACGCCACACAACAAACATTTTTCTGCCTTCTCCCCACATGGTTTTATTCACATCAGCTTTCCAAAAGGTGTGGCATATTCAGAGAAAAAAGGTTTTACTAACTAGCTACATTCCCCAAAGTACAGCAGAATGTATCTCAGCTGAACCTTGTGCAAAAAACATTTCATGCTCTGATCTTGTTGAGTTTTGACATGACATGTTATACTTTTAACAGCTCCCACAAAGACTGAATGCCAAGTATACCTACCTTTTTGTTCCAATACTCTACCAGAATGATAGTTGCATTCTTCTTTACGTCTATATTCCCCTGAAGAAGTAACAGCATATACTTCGCCACACCTACAGCACACTCTTTTGAAAGCTAAAGAAAATGATAAAAGAGTATATTTCCTAGCTGGCTTGCCATAAAGTTAAAAATGCTAAAGTATAAAATAAGTAACATTAACAGTAATTGCAAGAGCAGAGTATCAATGCATAAGCAGCCTCCCAAGATTTTTCCATGCATGGAAAAAAGTCCCAGGTTCTTCTATAGCACTATAAGAACTTCAAGTTTACCTGCAACTTCTTCAATGACCATGTTGAAATAAAAATCAAAAGAGACCCATGAAGATTCATGGTTTAGTTATGAAAGATTGTGAATTCACTTGTAGTCCAGACCCTAAATACTACTAAATAGTCCAGGCAGTAAATACCCATGTATTTTACTGTCCTGTGAACCACTGACTGAAATTCAATTTTGTTGCAGTCTAGTAGGCACTTACCATCATATCCAGCATTTTTTACAACCCCTGTAAGTATAGCACTGCCACTTTTTTCAGGATTTGTTCGAGGGAAATTATTTTCATTCAGTTGTTCCTCAGTCAGAAGATAATCTTTCAAAAGTTCATATAGAGCACCACCTGTACCTGCTAAAAAAAAACAACCAAAAACCTAAAAGTAAGCAAGCCCAAAGCTTAAGCAATATTAGAACAAATATAAGTAGCACTTAAATATCCTAGTACTTCCAAAATAAAACAAAACTGAAATTACAAAATGTGCACCGTAGTTTACATGCAAAAACTATAGGCATGTACCTCAGAGCAATTTGAAGGGATTAGAGGTGAAGCATTATTCAAAACAAAGACACTAAACAATAGGGATGTTACTTCACTAGCTATCCCAGAAAAGCTAGGCATGCAATACTAAAGAACATGCTCATTTCAAACAGAAGTTCAACATTTTCCCCTAAGAATGAGCCTTCAGGATCTGAATAAATAAATAGGGAGTTGTGTTGGAACCACAACAAGTAAATAGATAAAGCTTGACCAAAAAAAGAGCAACATTTCATACTGAAATAAGCCCATTTATAGGCTAAAGCGGAGAACTGACATCTCCCTTCCCCTTTCTTTACCTTTCTCTTCCTCTGACTTTATGCATCCAGTGCCACCGGAAGATGTGCTGGCACTAAGTTGCCCTGAATGCAGGAAAACATATTTTTAGTATTTTTTCCTCAATTTTCTATTTCCTGTTAATATCCTAAGCAAATATTTATAAATCAAAACACCAATTTATTTCAGTGATATGTTTCTATAAAAGGATTTAAATATGCAGAAATGTCTTTACTAAAGTTAAATTAAATAATCCTTTCAAGACATTTCTCTGCTGTTCTAATTTCTACACTTAACAACACATTTTAAAAAATCTTCATTGAAAGCAAAACTACCATGATCTCTCAGCTTTTTAAGAGTCTTCACAGCCAAATTCAGGTACATTTTTTTACTGCCACAACGATCATAAACAGACTGCTCTTCTATTAGGGCCTATAATTAAAAAAAAGAAAAGAGATTGAGTGTTAGTGGAGTACTGTATGTTCTATAAAAAGCACTGCCATTTAGAATCTGAGATTCTGAACCTAGAGGTAAATACACATGCAAGTAGTGTCCTAAGTCTGAAGTCCAACAGGAGACACAAAGTCAGATGGATGAGACACCTAGAAAGACAAATTCAGTTCTCATGAAGCCAAGATCTGTGGGGGAAATCAGTGCTCCAACTCAGAATTTAAACCTAATCCTTGGGAGAATTTCAGCACTCTTAGCATAACCATTCCTATGGCTACAGACAGCTTTTTCTGATCCTGCTTCAAAGGAGGCATTATTACTTTTTTAGGTCAAGAAGTGTTTCCTTAATTTTCTTTTTGTAAAGGCGTTAAGAAACAGAAGTGAAAGGAAGGTCCAGCACCTTTTAACTATAAAGAAGCACACTTGAAATAAGGAGTATGTTCGTTGACCTTCTGGGGGAAGAAAAATGCTTCTTCCCTGGTTTTATTTCACTGTTTACACTATCTGCAAAGTCAACAGAAGAAAGGCTCATTTCAGGCATAAATAGTGCCTTCTAACAATCACTACAGCAAGTACAATTCACAAGTTACAACCTCAAAGCAGAGGAAAAGAGAAAGTGGAGAACTCATGAAGCTGAGAAATAACACAGGAGGAAGTTAAAGGGAAGGTAAAAGAAATATTACTTGGTGAGAATGAAGAGTCAGGCTACCAAGGTATGCTGCATAATATAGAGAAGACACTGTAAATGTCAGAGAAGTAACTTCTCATGTTTTACAAGCTTTCATTCAACGTATAATTAAATACACATACAGACTCTTACCAGAACACCTCCATAAAGTCTTTTGATTGCCAGCATGCAAGAAACTTAGATCACCTAAAGGTTAAGCTCGGGATATTTGTGCCTGTCAGACCGTATCTGTTGACTAAAAGCTTGAGTAGCACTTGCTGTGGTGTAAACAGTAAATACAAGATCAAAGGCTCAGAATGATTGAGAGATTTATCATTGTTCTTCAAACATGTTTTCCTCCTGTCCTGAATAGATCTCAAAGTCATTATTACATTCCAGGAAGCCTCCAGTATTCACAAGAAGATTTTTATTTTGCATTTGCCAAAGAAAAACTTTTCCTTTTTAATACTAAAGTAACATGTCTTTTTGGAAGCCAATTAGCAGTGCTGAAGACAGATGTTTTAACCTGGAGAAAACTGAAACTGATAACACTGGCAAGTGTAAGATCAAGTACATTTTAACTTCTGCTTACTGAAAAGTCTGAAATATTTGCCTTAAAAATCAAATAAAAAACCCCACCAATACATTGTCCAAGATAAGACCTACTGACTTAATTCAGAAGAGGAATTTAAAGATATATAAAACATTACAAACCTTGTTAATAGCTTCATTCACTGTGCTGCAAATTTTGAAGCATTCTGTAAAAAAAAGCCTGACATATCTCTGTCTTGTCTCAAGTGGTACTTTGGATCCTGATTCTGGAATGAAAGGCCTTTCCTGAGTAGAAACCTTAAAAGAAACAATAACAAAATTAAAAACCCCCATACTACGGTGGTCAATATGTAACAAACAGCTCAAAGAACTAAAACCAGTTCAGACATTCTTTAGCCCATCTTGGAGAAAAAAAAACAAAACAAAATCCAACCATCAGAAACAGTAGCCATAGAGGTTTTCCCTGCTTGAACTAAACAAAGTAGTCTGCTGCTCAAAGTTATGTGAGGTATTAAAACTATTTTTTTTTTTAAACTTCTTTTTTCTCAGAGAAAGTTCAGTCCTTCACCAAGGACTAGCAGTTCAGTTACTATTTAAGTCATGCTTTCTATCTGGCCTTTATTTCAGGCAGTACTTAACTTGGAGAGTAAACTAAGGACCCAGTGAACTAGATTGAAAAAAAGAGTTTATTTTTAGGAATCCATAGGCTTTGTTAGACAATGGAACGTAGAGTTTTTGCTTATCACAATATGCTTAGTTTAACAATAAGCACAGAAGTTAAAATAATCACATTCAAAAATCTGGTAGTAAGTTAGGTTAACCATGGTACCATCACACCCAAAAAGGTCCAAACAGTTACAAAGATGCTTTGTGTGTATCAAACAAGGAGTAATATGTGTATACCACATTTATTTGCTACGGAGGATCCTTTAAGAGCAGCATTTAAATGTGTGTGCTACTACCAAGGAGGTCAGTTTTGCATAAAGGGAACAAAGGCAATGTGTATCATTGTCACAAGCTAGTCTCACCATTATTGGGGCATGCAGTATTCTATTTAGGAAACAAGAAGGTACATACTGGAGATAAGAAGCAATCAGTACTTAATAGCCTAGAAAAATGTCAATAACCAAAGTGACTGAAGCCATAACGTTTGACATTTTTAATTAGAAAGCAAAACTCTGATCTTGTAATATATCTGACCCCAGGAATCTTCAGTGACATCTGCTTTTTTTTTTTTAAGGAAAAAAAAAGCGAGGTTAGAGTAATTTTTCTGAGAATAGAACCTTACAATACTCTGCCACTCAAAATTACAAAGCAAAGTTGGTACTAACAAACCAAAATATGCATGCATTAACTTTTTGACAAGTTCTTTGAAAGCCCTGTAATTTATAAGGGTACCTCTCTTGAAGCCAAATAAAGCCTTTCATCACATATCACCTTCCATGACACATTGCAGGAAGTTTTAAGTGAAAATAACCAACATGCAAGCACAACTTGACTGAAAACAAATTTGTACTTAATTCTCCCATCACAACCACTTTGATTAATAATTTATGTATTTAATTGCTTACATTTGTGTAGTGCTAGCTAGTACAACCAAGGAAAATGAAAATACAATTTGCATAGCAACTTGATTAAAGCACAAAGGAAACAAAGTAATTTTTTTAAAAAGCTATACTGGTATATCACAAGTAATGTGGTATATGTCTATGTTATAAAATACTGTTTGAAATTAATTGCAGTTTTCCCACTTCTGTTCCCTTTCACATATCCAAGTTCTGCAGTAACTCTACTGTACCTTGCATGGCACAACAGTAGTCCTTTTGAATGAACTAACAGGAAGTCCACGGTGCATTCTTGTTGCAACATTTCCTTCCAGTAGTATACGCAGTTGACCACTGCAGGTTTCAATGGGCTGAAGTTCAAGCAAATTTAAAGAGGCTGAAACACACAGAAGACACCGACTGAATCTAAACTCTAATGGTAAGCTTTATTACTTAAATTACATTAATCTGAAACACAGGTATTTCACAGCTCCTTTGTTAAAGCAGGATAAAAGTAAACTAATGCACGGAAGCAAACCTGGAACATCAGAAAACACATTAAGACTCCACTTCTGCCAATAGATTTTATGCAAGGTGTTCTCCAGGACTTTTGAGATCATATATCAGTTTGAAGACTTTAAAACAAAGCAGCCACACAAGTCAAGTTATAAGCTATTTTCAAGTTGTAATGAATATGATTTTTAAACTCCTACTTGCCTGCCTTCCCTGTCCCTTTGCCCTCCCTGCAAAAAAGCATGATAGCAGAAAAAAAAAAAAAAAGAAAATCCGGAAAACCACCAATCTAACTTCATCTTCCAATGCAATCAGTAAGTGCCCTTATGTATTGCTTTGGCTTTTTAAAGTCAGGAAAGCTACAGATCTCAGAAATAAAAATTGTCACGAGATCTGGAGCCAAGGTATCAGCATTTGATGTGCAGCCATCCTGCTTAACTTTCCTTGCATCAGCACCTATTATACAGCAAGACACATTTGTACACTATGAGATACACTAATCCATTTTACTGTTATTCAGAAAGAATGTGTACACTGGCAGAATGACTCAATTTTATGTGAAGATGTATTATAGCATGTGTAATATAGACACATGAATGAAACTAAGAAGCAGTATTTTATTAATTTAATTGCTAGGTAGGTTACTTTGCAAGCATATATTTAAAGTGACAGTAGGAGAGCTGGAGGGGAAACACTGTTTAACTAGTATCAAATGCTGAAAATAACTTATACTCCAGGATTTTCCATATATGAAGGAGAATTTAAAGGGAGGCAAACATTTTCAAATCACAAGATTTAACAAATTGTTTCAGAAGGTCTGAATGCTTCAGACTTGAAACCTAAGAGTTAATATCAGACCTAACAGTTAATATGAGTACTAAAAGGAAACTCACCAGACTTCTTTTTTTATTCTTTCAACTCATGTATCAAAAGACTTTCAACAAAACAAATGGTTTTTTCGGGATTTTGGTCAAAACCATACATGTTCAAAGAACTTAGCACAAAGTATTTGTCCCCTTTCTGCTACAGCTACCAAGACTTCAAATATAACCTTCTATTTGGATAGGGTATCTATCTGCACAAGCTAAGTGCTCACCATCATTCAATTCACAGCTAACATTTACCACAACAAAATGAACACATTCAAGCAATGCCTAACTGAAGCAAAACGAAGTTTAGTTTGTCAAACCTATGGATCAAGCTGTCATACCCATTGGTCCAGTGCTTTGAAATTGAGTAGCTGACACTCCAGACATAGTGTTCTTCTGTTCGGAAGTTGTAGCAATAAAAACTTGTCCCCTTTTAACTGCAGCTGCAAACTCCATTGCCTCCCAGTGCGCCTGCTGAATTTCGGGAGCGGGGTTATGATGTAAAGGAGATGCTTTGAAAGGCACCATTTCATTTTTATTATTATGCACCTGATACACACACATACAAAACCAGAGTTAACATTCAAGCAGTTCCAAATCACAGCAAGACGGTGTTAAAGTTAACACACTGCTGCTTAAAACTGAATTTTGCTATCAGATTCAGAGCTCAGTATGCTGTCCCTGGAAGGAAAACACCACGCTGAAAGACCTCAGGGGTGGTGGAGGGGGCTTAAAGAATTATGCCTATTAACATTGCCACCTAAAGCACTGTAAAAGCAGGGAAAGCAACAGCCACTTTGGGTTTCCAAGTGCTGTATCTGTAATCCCATGGTACAAGCCTCTACTCCAAACTGACTTTTCAATATTCATCAGCCTCAGCTGTCCTGGGCAGCAGCTTACTTCACCAGCATCAGGAAACAACTCTAAGTACTAGAATATTTGCCACAATTTTTAACAGAAGAACTGATAAGACATTTGTTCTAATTAAATTCAAAATATTTTTACAATTAGATTACAAGATTCAGCCAACCTAAAGTTCAACATGAGTCTACAGATATTAAGTAATGCTATGTTGACCATCAGTTTATTACAAAATTGTAACTCACATCAAATTTTGCTGTGTGTGCAATTCTTCTCTTTTGCCCAGGAACACTTATTTTGGTTTCTGATAAATTGACATTTCCTCCATAGGCCTATTAAAAACAAGAACAGATTATTTAGACCAACTGTTATGAAGCTCTAGACTTCAGTAATATCCTCATGACCCATTCACTCCAATGTCTCAGGATATTCAGTCAAAGAACTCACCAGGAAAACAACAATTCCATCAGTATTAGACAGTTATTTTACATTCAGAACAGTTAAGCCAGAGTACTTTGATGTTGGGGCAGTGGTACTCAACGTTCCCACATTCCTTTGTTTATAAGAACAGAAGCCTACTGAATACACAGCTGGCTCTAAAACTTGGTTTATTACAGTAAAAGTAAAAATGGCTACCCAAAGTCAGGGAGCTGTTCAGAGCAATTTTCTACTTCAGGAAACATACAGATCACGCATTGTCAAACTAGACTAGAGAGTTGCAAGTGTTCCTTATGACTTTGTCTACTAGTGTTGATTGCTTAAATGTTTAACCTTTACTAACACACATTTTGGAAAGAGTATTTGAACTCAACTGTGTATCACATCCCGTCCTCATACACTCAGAAAAAAAAAACCCAAGCACTGAAAGGGAAACGAAATACCTGCTTATCAACGTCCTTCTTTTGTGCTTCTCTTTCAAACTCATCAAAAATTCTCCGACACTCCTCTAAAGGATCATCTGATTCAGAGAACTCTGTGTCCTCCCCACTGGGTTCCGCTTTCTCAGTGGATGAACTCAGCAGAGTTATTTCACTTTCTTTCTTGTTTAAATAATAAGTTGGACATGGGTATGTATCTTCTGGGCTACCATTACCCCTATTTTCTTCTGTATTTATTATTTCCTTATAAGGTCTTTCAATTGTGGTTTCATCTTTTGACGAATGACCTGTACAGAAGGCAGACTGTGTTACTCTTCCACTGCTCACACAGACTGCATTAGCAGTATGCTCCTGAACAAATCCTTTGACCCATATATTGGTTTCTGCATTCCCTTGCTTCAGAGTTCCCTTCTGCATGTGTGTCTCAATAGAAGCAGCTGAAGATAAACGTTTCTCCTCGGTATAAACAAAGGCATCTCTTTCCTCCAAAACCTTCAATACATCAGTGTTTACATCAGGCAAATAAATCTCATTTGCTTTTGAAGAAACATTGCCTAGTTCTTCAGATTTATTTAACTCTCTGCCATTCTTCCGCAAAGTGACCACTTTCTCTGATTTTTCTTCTGTACACCCACGAATGTCTGCTATACCACTATCATGTACTCTTTTTGCATATATTACAGCAGCCAGTTCTTTGTCTGTGATCCTGTTTGTAGAGTTCCTCCTTATTCTTCGCTTTTTATTAACAGCTTGTGGTGGCACATCAATGACAAGATCACATTCATCATCAGATTCGTCAAGTTTTATGTCAAGTTTCACTGGGGAAGAGCTTCTCGACCTCTTTGTGAATACATGTCTACTCCTAAATGCAGACATCTTTGAATTTCCATCCTGATTTTCACATGGAAATAGTTCTGTTGGCTTACGCTGCTGCTTAACATTTTTATCCTCATGTGTTACAGAAGAGATAGAGACACCTGCAAAATAATTTTGTAGAAGATTATATTCAAGAACAGTTGCCAGACAATGATAATCAACAATGTATTTTTCTAATTTAAAAAACAACAGCCATTATTTGTACACCAGGAAACTGAAATGACATGACAAGTGTTTATAATCATTTAATTGGGAAGATTGTACTGTGAGAGTTCCTTCTGTTCCTTGATTTCATTCCTGACTCAATGTACTGCTATCCTTTTGGGGTTTTGTAAATCACCTGCCTCTCTGAGGAAAGACAGCTATGAGCTTAAATTAACTCATCCTAAACTGCAGTCTACAGATTTCAGCTGAGGAAAAGGAAATAATCTATTTTATTAATTATGCACAAGACTAGAAGTCTCATTGTCCCAAATACCCAGTAACATTTCAAGCCAGGCATATTTATAATCGTGCACAAACTTTAACCAGCCTTGAAAGTTGAATTTTCCAACTGCAGATTTAAGTGACTAACCGTTATCTTTTTAGCTTTTACAGGCTGTAGACTGCTTACCAGAAATCAGCCTGACACTTTCTCAAGGCACTATCTCCAACCTCACATGGTTATTCTGGCAAATCACAAAATACAGTGGTTATTACGCTCAAAAAATTTTAATAATTCTATACAGCCCCTGTCATCCAAAAGATCCTTTAGCATCAAATGTATTTCAATAACGATGCTATTTACATTGTCATTTAAAAACTCATGTCACCATTTGATTTCAACAGTCATTGTATCCGTAATTACAAAACATTTCAGGGAATTTCTAGAAAGTCACATTTTGTTAGTGCATGGGATCCTTTCCAGGTTACTGAAAATTAAGTGATTTTGGCATTAACGCAATAACAATATACTAAACAAGGGTGGTACCACAAAGCCTCACTACCCTGTTGTTGCGGGTTAACCCTGCCTGGCAGCTGAGCCCCATGCAGCCACTCTCTTACTTCCCTGGTGGGATGGGGCAGAGAATCAGAAGGGTAAAAGCGAGAAAACTCGTGGGTTGAGACAGTTAAATAGGTAAAGCAAAGCTGTGCACACAAGCAAAGCAAAATAAGGAATTAATGCACTACTTCCCATTGGCAGGCAGATGTTTAGCCACTTCCACGAAAGCAGCTCCATCGTGCCTAACTATTACTTCAAATGTCTCGCCTTCCTCCTTCCTTCCCCAGCTGTTACTGCCAAGCACTACATCATATGGTTTGGAGTATCCCTTTGGTCAGCTGGGGTCAGCTGTCCCAGCTGTGCCCCTTCCCAACTTCTTGCCTGCCTGCGGACTACTTGCTGGCAGGGCAGCATGAGAAACAGACAAGCTCTTGATGCTGTGCAAACACTCTTCAGCAATTAACTAAAACATAGGTATGTTATCAACACAGTTTTGGTCAGAAACCCAAAACTTAACACCATACAGAGCTACAAAGAAAACATACTCCATCCCAGCCAAAACCAGTACACCTCTCTACCTCAAAGAAATACTCTGAGCCACTATGAGCTGGTAACTGTTCTTACCAGAAATACAAATAATCTGAGAGAGGTAGTGTTTCCCCACCTTTTATACAGGTGAGATACCATTTAGACTATGTAGTAATCCATGTTATAGGATTACTCTTTTGACTAACTAGAGCCTGTGCAAACCTTCAGGGTTCAAGCTTCAAGCTTGCTAGAAGTTCCAGAAGCCATCTAATGACAGGTGTTGGTCACTTGAAAGGTAACACCTATGGACTCAGCCTTTGACAAGTCACATCATGCTGCACAGCTAGCCACCTGCAAAATGAGCAAGTGGAAGTGAGGAAGGGAATGACTCCAAGGGGTGGGGGGGGGGGGTGGGGGTGGGTGTCCTACTGCATAGCAACCATCAAATTATCCCAGTCCTTTTTCCAGGCTGCAGTTCTTTATGCTCAAATACAGAAGTCTTTGAGAAAGAAATAAAGCATTACCATTTACAGGTAACTTTGAAACCCAGGTACTTATTGTGGAAATGAAAGCTCCTGCTGCACAGAAAGAGCCTACATGCAGAGTGAGAACCTGCACTGTGACTAAAGTTTTGGCATGCCTGAGCTGTGAAGGCAGAAAATCAGTAGCATCTGTTTAAAAACCACAGATATGACAGAGTAAGAGACACTTTGATGGTTCCCTGGATTACATACTTACCAAGCAACTCTTAAAACTATCAATGTCACCCACAGAAAACAATGTGGAAGAGACTAACCCAAGCTCAAGGTAATCTGAAAGCAACTACTTGTTTTTAACTGTAAGCTTTTCAAGTCCAGTTTGGAAGCAAGTTGCTTTTTTCATTAACATAGGCTGTTAATATTGACAAGTTTTGTGGCTCCCATTTTAAAGCTGTTGCAGTACTCTGCCCCTTGCCTCTCACGCCCATTTGGCTTTATTGCCAACAGTTTAAACACGCTATTTGTGCTAATGAGATATAGCTTACAGTCACCTGAAAACACATGGACATAGGACCATGACAAACATCAAAAAAGCTAGTTACAAATCCTATTACTCATTATGCTTAAGAAGAAAGTGGAGCACCATGGGTGAGGCATACTAAAGCTTCAGTAGAAAATGCCAGTTATTTACTGATGTGCAAGCAGGCTCTTTGCAGACCGGCAAATCCTGGAAGGAAAGCAAGTGCCTTATAGACATTAAAAGCAATTCATACTACAACTTCTGCTCCTCATTACAAGGGTTAAAGGTCACAGAGCACAGAGAAAAGGTGATACCCTCCTACTAAGAAAGCGGTAAGTCATCAGCTTTTATTATACTATCACAAGGCAGCTTAAGCAATCCTCTCAAGTCCAGTGGCCTGAAGCCTAACCCCATGCACAGACACCAGGCTACATTATAATCCTGGTACTGTCACTGCTGTTTGCCAAGGTGGGAGTAGTTTTTCTTTTTTTTCTCCTAAGAGCAAAGACAGAGCAAGACTGCAAAGACCCCCTGTTGCACCATTCCACTCTTCAGCCCTCACGCACGGCACCGCAGCTCTTCATTCAACTGCCATGCCCAAGCGGCAGGAACGCAGCCATGCCCACACCCTAGCG